AGAAGGTTGGACTACATGACCCCCTGAGGTTCCTTTCAACCCTAATGATTATTTTCTATTTTGCCCTCAATAATTAGCCCAGAAAGTGACCGCTAATCATCAGTTTTATTGCCTAGAAAAATGCATACAAAAAGAGAGCAGATTATCATAGCAATATATAAACCCTTTATTTTTTCCTCCCTAAATCAAGAACTGCTGTTCTTGCTCTAACATATATCCATTCAATTGTGCAGGGTATTAGTACAGAATTCACCATATTAATCAAATAGGTGCAAAATCCATGCACTGGTCACAGGATCCAAGTAACTAGAACATGGTTCCCTGGGCCACAATGACACCTTTAAATCTATGGCAAAATGTAAACGTTTCAAATGAAAAAGGGTGTGCAGGTACTCTTGCCTTCCCTCCCACCTTTTGTAGTCAGCCACAACCCAAAAGATTGTTGTATCACTTGATTCCTGCAGATGCTAGTTTTTCAGGTCCAACATTTCACATGTAGCATGCTAACCCTGTACCAGAGAGAAGAAAAAAAAGTGTCCTATAAGCAAGCAAGCTCACTAAGCAGAAAAGTTGGTGTTAATGGAATTGTATCACCATTTTGTATCAGGGCTGGAGTGTTGTAGCCTTGATGGTCCAGGACATGTACAAAAGGTGAAGATTTTTTGAGATATCTTTTACTGGACCAAGCTTTTGGCCATCAAGAACCCTTCCTCAGGTTGCCTATTACATTTCTGAAGCACCAGCAGCACAACTCCATTTTCAGAACTTTTTAAAATTTAAAATCCATATTTAAAAGCATTTTCTGAATAAGAGGGAAGGGGAAGGGGAAGGAGAGACTATAGCGCATATGAAATACAAAGGAGAAAGCAAGTTAGCCACAATACTTTTTCACATACCATCATCCTTCTATGATCTGGAAACTCAAGGCCAAAATAGTCGCCTTCAACAAGGTTCAGGTGACTGCAAACGGCATCGTGCAGGACCTTCCCTGGAGCTCTTTGCTATAAAAATAAACAGCAAAGAGTTAGACATGGCATGCTGACACAAGGCACTCTAATTAAAGAAAAATAAGAAAAGAGCAGTCACGTTAAGCACTTGTACAGCAAGCAGCATATTTGCCAAACAATTTACAAAACTAATAACCAATGTTCCAATAGCTCAGGTGGTGGTGATCATTATTATATTAATTTTTATGGACCAAGAAACTAACCGTAGAACTCTAATTGGCCCTTCAATTTTTACAATTTAAACCAAGGATCAGGCATCGGCTGGATGTGGCCCACTGAATGGTCCAATCTGGCATATGGGATCCGTGGTGTATGCCTGCTGCCCATCCCCTCTACAGTGCTTTCTTCTGCTGTGCAGCCTGCTGCTCCGCCACATCTGCTTTTCTCACTGCAAAGGGGATGGGGAACAGTAGTGAGATTAAGCACAGGCAGCTGGCTTGCTGGAGGGGGGAAAGATGGGAGACTTGTGACCCGCAGTGGGGACTGAGTTGCAAAAGGTAGCCTTCACCAGCAAGAGGCTGCCAACCACTGAACTAAAAAATCCCTAGGCTATCCACCAACCTCTCTCTTTCTCTAGCTCAATCAATATTTTATTATTTGTATAAAGTGTAATAGCACCAGCGAGAGATGGGTAGCTAGGTCAGGCTACTGAAGCAAACAGAACAGTGACTTGAACCCAGGCCTCTCATGTACCAGGTAAACACGATAACCTGGGCTACTACCTAGCCTTGAGTGGTGCAGCCAGTCACTCCCTCTCTCAACATTTTTCATGAGAATGTGAAAGAAATGCCCAAACCATGAAGCTCTAATCCTGCAACAGATTTCTTGCTTTTGGGTCAGGCCTAATTATGAAGCACCTTTGCAATTGCAGGTGTCAGTTTAAAAGCATGCTTTTAAAAATAAATATCCTGTAGCATGCTAGAGAAATTTAAAATCTTTCCCTAAGGTAGGCAAGACCTACTTGTCACCATAACAAGGCTTTGTCACCTGCAGGCACAAAATAGAATGTCGAGAACCTAAGAAATCATTAGTTTCAGGGAACAGGTGGAAGAGAAATGCCACTTCTTTCAAATTCATCTCTCCGGAAACCTGTTTAACTGGTTTCTGGTTGACAAGCATTCAGATCTACTCCAGCCATTCTAAGGCACCAGGAAACTGAGATCATATTACATGGTTGTGTTAAACTATTTATTAACGTCAGCAAGAGCAAACAACGGTCATTTAAATATCATGACTTAAATGATGACAAAACACCAGAAGGAAAAGGGTAAATAGGGGTATTGTTTGGGTTTTTTTTAAATTACATTTGTCAGAGCCCATCTAGTAAAGAGTCTACAAAATAATTAAACTTACTTGAAATCAAAGTGAATTGGGAGTGGTGGGGGAAGAGGAAAAGTTAGTGTTTCTAGTGAGTATTTGGGATCAGATGCAAGTAACACCATGTGCTGTTTGTAAGCAGAAATATCAGAATACATTCACTTCAGAGTATTGCACCTCATTAAACAGAAATATTTATGATGACTGAAACTAAAAACTTGAGTTTCTATGCATGCAATAAGTAAAAACCAAATATTTTTCTGCATTCCCATATCAAAAGATAAACGGACATCCAAACTGCAGTCTCAATGAACAAAATAATTCCAGGTACTTCTTAATTGTAAATCTCAGTAAAGAGCAAATAAATTAGGTTAACAGCATCGTAGGGCACCTACACACATGCAGAGAGGCTGCTCTCATGTGCTGTAATGACAGTGCATTGGAGCAGACACAATGAATTGAGTCTGCTAGAACATGATAATTACCGTTCAACAAGCTTTAGTTAAAGTGCCTCTGTAGCCATTTTTCAGCACAGGGATGCTGATACACATGATGCTCTGGGC